GGGGGGGGGGAGAATAGTGTTTTCCTGTGTATGGACAGAGTGGCCAGCAGGGCACCCTGGGAAGGGCTGGAGTCCCCCTATTTCAAAACAGCCTCTCTTCCCTGTCTACATATCCCCTATTCTGAAATAGCTATTTCAGAATAGATGCTATTCCTCATAGAATGAGGTTTACAGAACTCGAAATATTTTGAAATAGCAATTTTGCTGTGTAGACATTCGCAAAATTATTTCCGAATAGCGGCTGTTATTCCAAAACAACTTTGCAGTGTAGACACACCCAAGGAGAGCCAGGTGGTTGGCTATCCTCAACTGCAGGGTAGATGAGGAATAAATATTTCATCCGAACAAGTCCAGCTTCTTAGACTCTTTATTTTTTAGGGTAGCTCTAGGTTGCCCCAATGTTCCCAGTGGTTAACTCTCTTGACCACCAGGGAATTTAGGGAAGGGTGGCAGAAGGGACCTTCATGCCCTTTAGTCAGGACAAATGAAAGGACAAAAGAAAGCCTCGGGGAAGCCGGCAGCGGAGCAGTCCAGGCGCGCCTGGACTGCCTCGCTGCCCTGCCCCCCCCGCGGCTTTGCTCTGCGTCTTAAAATGTCCCCGCCGGCCTTCTGTCCAAGAAAAACAGAAAATTTTCTGGTTTTTTTGTTGGTTTTTTTTTTTTTTTGCCAGACAGAAGACGCAATTACTGGGCAAAAACCGGACACCTGGCAACCCTAGGGGTTATAGATGAACCTTGTTAATTTGCACCGTGACTCACTGAAAAAATAATTTTATGTGGCTATAAGACATCTATTTTGCCAGTTATAGAGCAGTTCTAATCTATGGTAATCACAAGATAAATGCAGTCAATATAAAAAAAATTGTGGTGAATTTTTAAAAATGATGCAGTAGTTAAATCCTAGGAGTAGAAATCAAAAGATGTGGGTTGTTGCAAGACTTGGAAAAAAAAAATTATCTTCTTAGCACTGCAGTTTAATTCTTCATTCAACAGATGTGGAATCATCCATTTTCCAAGGAGTGGATTAATTTGTGCGTGAGGTGAGGTGAAGTGAAGATTTTCAAAATCTTACATATGTTAGTATTATTCAGCTTGCCTATTTTTAAACACTACCCTGTGTTAAGGTAAAAATTAAGAAAAATGAGTCCTAGAAGGAAATAAACCAGACCTATCTGAAACAGTTATCAAAGTAAATGACCTTTGAACAAACTACTTTGCAATAGTGAAATCCAGTTGTTAAATAAACTAACTCTTCTTTCTTAGAAGCGAACAGTGTGCCAGGTTCTGGGAAATACATGCATGCAGATTAGTTACTGTGAAACCCCAAATTTAAGGTAAAAAGGTACACATGAAAGCTTGCCCCATGAACAATGTAGCTGCAACTGATTTTTCCTTTCTAAGTGGTGGCCAGAGCCCCCTCTAAGCTCCACAGCCATCTAAAGCTGGGGCCAGAGGAGAGGCAATCTCCACTAGCTGCAGCAGTAGGGCTGGATTAAGTAAGGGACTTTAAGGGCTGCAGCCAGGACCCCCGGCTAATGGGAGCCTCCAGGACGCAGCCCATCACGCCCTTGTTTTCTGGGCCAGCCCTTTCTGGAGGGGAGGGGAAGCAGAGGTCCTTTCCCTCTCCCCACCTGAACTAGGAAACTCTGTCCCTGCACTGCCCTCACCTGGAGACTCTGTCCCCACAGATGCCATTAGCTGGGAAAGGCAGACAACAGGAGTTGCATGGGGTGGTGCCTGTAGAAGGCAGTGTAGCACAGGCTGCCTGGAGTCACCCTCACCAAAAACAAACAAAAAACCCCTCAGGAACTACCCCAGGTAAGTGGTCTACACCCCCAACCAATGTTCCCTCTATTTCTGCCCCCCCATACATGTGCAGAATACATTCTGTTATGTGTACTGAGGCATATGCATGTGTGCACCACCAGTAGAAACATGCTGCCAACTGTGGGTGCTCTGTTAAGTCAGCTAGACAGTATATAAATCTCTCCTGGGTGGCCTCCCAAGCACATAGGGAACTTAAACCCCAACCCAGAGTTTTAGTCATGAGCCTGCTCTAGCATCCTATCTTCTTCCCAAACCCCATACCCAATCCTGAGCCCCTCCTGCACCCTAGCTCTCACCTAGACTCTGCATTCCCACCCCAGCTTCCTGCTCGGAGCTCACTCTCACACTCCAAGCCTCTTAGCCTCAGCCTGGAGCCCCCTTCTATACCCCAAACACTCCATCTGCAGCCCCTTAGCTCCCCCAACACTGAGCCCCCTCCCACATTCTAAGCCCCTCAGCCCCAACCCTGCCACAAATTGCGCATGTGCAGAAACAATTTTGTTATGTGCTCCGACATGTAGATTATGTGTTGCACATCTCTGTATTTGTGCACATAAAAATATTCATTCTGCATGCAGACCTAAAAAGTTAGAGGGAACACTGGTGATGGCAAGTAGATATTTAGAGGGAGATTTTTAAGTGCATACAGGGTGTTGGGTCCCAATCTTCCCCTTAACACATTATATGCCATATAAGACGTAAAACACAGCCAATTTTCCCACTCTACTTACTCTCTGTTGCTGGAAGTCTTGTGGCCTGATGAAGACTTGTCTTCCAGTTTAGTTTTCTTGGTTTCACCAGCTCTGTTTTCATCATCATTCTGAATAAAGCAAGCATAAAGGAGCGCTTTAGGACAGAGTTTGATATTTACAGGTTAACAATAGGGGATTAAAAAAAGCAAAATTCTTAAAGTGTCATTAAATATTTGTCAATATTACTTTTGATAACAGCTAATGCTTATAAAAAAGTGGATTGTCATGTCAAAAGGTTTGGAAAGTGAATTTCTAAACTGCCTACACACTTTCATTAATCTTCAAATCTACCATAAGCAACACAGGCAGAAAAACAAGTGTATAACAGTAATTCTAATACGAAAAACAGCTCGAGATTAGGGTCCAAAATAATAAAATTTACTATACTGTATTCTAGTAACTGAATGCTCTTTTGTAACAGAACTTAAACTGGGCAACCAAAGATCAATAAATCATATAAGCAACTGACATCTATCAGCTGTTAGACTTAAGATGATCATTGCAGAATCTCTCAGACTCAGTATTTTAGAGTAGGACTGTAAAGTAGTTTGCCTCTCCCATTGGCCTTACAAAAGGACTCATGTCCACCATGACCTCACCACTAGGAATGGGAGGTGGCCTCAGGACTTTGAAGATGGTTAGTGACACAATTCTTCGGGATATGGCCCAAGCTTAAGTGATCCTACCAAAACCTGATGTAGGTGCATAGCTCTTTATGATGGGTTTCTGTCCATAATGGCCACCACTTTTGTTATTGTTTTGCAAGGAACAAATGGCCAAACAAGAAGGCCATTAGGTTTGAAGCTACTGGAGACTGAGTGCATTCACACAGAGTGCTAGATCTTCTATAGCATAAGGTAACACACAGGAGGGGCAAAACCTATTCCCGAGACACCCCAGGGTGGGAAGGGCCGACGTTCTGCTCCTTTCACCACTGTCATTCCAGAGAGCCCTGTGGCTCAGAACTCTGTATCTGGTGTAGCAGGAAGACAGAAGCACCTCCCCCCAGCTGGATAATCTGTGATGGGGTGGGACAGAGTCATCTGGAGAGGTCACTCCATCCTCACACAAGTTAGCTAGTGTCCTGCTTTCTGTCCCTCCCAGGAGTCACCTGCCCATTTTTCAGATGAGAAACTTTTCCTCAATTTCATTGCTGACTCCGGCAAAGAGGTAACCTGAATTGGGACAAGAATGGAGGAATCCATTTGTTTTCAGTCCCAGGTCAAGTTCACCAATACTGCCTCATTCCAAAAATCACTTGGTTTCTCAGCAGGGAAGCTAGTAAATTGAAGACAACTGTTTGGCTATGTCTAAACTACAGCCCTCTTTTCAAAGAAGGATGTAAATTAGGCAGTTTGAAAGTGCAAATGAAGTGGGGATTTACAGTAAAACACCGATGGTCCGGCATCTGGTGGTCTGGGCAGCTGGACCATTGGAGCTGCTCTGCCCCCAGCTTCCCCGATTCACCCACTGCTAAAACTGACCAGTGGCTGAATCAGGGAAGCCGGGGCAGAGCAGCTGGGGTGCTGCCGGGTTGGTCCCGTAGCGCTGCCGCACCCCAGCTGTCCCCGATTCATCCACTGCTGAAACTGATCAGCGGCTGACTCCAGGAAGCCTGAGGCAGAGCTGCTCTGCCCCGGGCTTCCTGGAGTCAGCCGCTGATCAGTTTCAGCAGCAGCTGACTTAGG